GGCCAATTTGAACCTTTCCATGAGGGAGGATTGGGAAGATTTTTGCAGTAACTTTTTGCCAATTAGTACGCCCAAGATAGTTTTATCAAGTACTTAATAAAATAAATAGGTAAGTGCAATGGAAGTCCTTAAATTAGTCTATGTTATTGAATCTCAAAATTTATCACGAAAGTGCAATTGAGTCTTAAAACTTAGTACAAAAGTATAAATGAATCTTAAAACTTTCATAACATGCAATTAAGTCCTAAAATTTGTCAAATTGATCAAATCAAGTCATTTCATTTGTTGCGCTTTTTGGAAATTTTAGGACTCGATTGCACTTTTTTTAAAGTTTCAGGATTCAATTGCGCTTTTGTGAAATTTTTAGGACTCGGTTGCACTTATGTGACAATATGACTCAATTGTGTTTTTTGAAAATTTTAGGTCTCGGTTGCACTTTTGTTATAGATTTCGAGACTTTTGGTTCCCTTGTTCTTGAAAAAAAAACCTTTATAGTTCTTGATTTTTCTGGTAGCACGCGTCCCTAAATATTTGGAAAATCAGAAGAAGAGTTTAGTGTTGATAACGTTCGACTACGAGTGTCGAGAAAATATTCCTTAACAAGACCCATCTCACGAAAGCACGTCACATCTTTGATCGCAGCTAATCTTGGCCGAATCTCCTTTTTTATCCGACGCTTTTTGGGAGTTTATGTAAACACCAGACAAAGCTGCTTCAGCTCGTGGATTTCGACACACTTTTATCGTTGGCTTTATCCACTTCCCACTACGTGTGATGTGGAATCTCTATTAAAATGACACTTTTGTTTAATTTGAAAATTAGGTAAGTATGACTTAGGTGGTCATTTCGGATGTGACACTTTTGTTTAATTCGAGTGTCCTTTTAGCCACCATGGCACCTCTATCCTTTGGGTTGAATAAGCTTGGGATTTCGTTTTGTTTCTTGCCCAGTATATCTAAGTATAAAATTACATAATGATGATGATGAGGAGAAGGAGGAAAGTATTAACATAATTTTACATGTCTCCAAGCAAAATCCCATGTTAAAAACATCGAATCGCCCCTTCTTATGAACTCGCTGTAATATCTTACTTAAGGTTTGCGTGATTATATTTTGAGTTGATTTTAAGAGGGTGCAAGAATTTAAAATTTTAGAGATGGGTATTTTTGGGAAGAGAATGAAGTGCAAAATGGTTTAGAGAGGAGAAACTCGTGCGGGTATTTCATATTTTCCAAAAGTAGAGAGGAACGTAAATAGCCATTGGTTGGAATGCGAGGTATATTTTGGATATCGATTCCATAATAATAATTTTAATAATGATTGTCCGTGAACGAGATAAAGATTCAATATGAAGGCCTTGATAAGCTAATGTAGCTCGATTTGCTCCAGAAAAGTTCTACAGGTTAAGTGTCGACTCTATCTCAATCGAATCTTTCAATGAAGGATTACGCGTGCTTTTTTTCACATACGAAAAATACGTACGTATACATAGCATCGTTGATTTCCATTTACGATATACTCGACTAGACGCCAACTCGACTCGAACATCACTAAATATCGTTTATCAACTTTACCGGCTCAACATCAATTGATGTCCGGCACATTTCCAGAAAAAGTCGCGTCCTCAGGCGAAAATGATTCGACCGGATTCAGACGGGGAGGGAAAAAACCGATCACGACAAAACCGACATGAATTCCCACGAAATTCCCACCAGTGGACCACGCACGCAGCGATTGATTTGGATCGACTAGAATCTCTTCACTTCCACATCCGTAGATCTCTTTTGGAGATAACACATCGCTTTTTTAAGGATTTAGATTAGATGATCTCGCCTCGTTGGGATAAGGCGTTGATTGCCGCACGCCATGATTAAGTCTAAAGAACCAAAACTGCGTGTGTGCAAAACAGCATCATCTCCTCTGTCCCCCAATTGTTTATGGTGTTTTTTTTGGACAATATGAAAAAAGGTTTCAGTCCGAGGATTGAGATTGGGGGGCGCTGCGCTGATCTGTGCGGATTAGCCAACCATCAATTGTCAAAATCCCACTAAGGCCCAAAATAATAATAACAATTAAAGATAAAAACAGCAACAAAAAAAAAATTTTAAACAAAAGTTCGCAAGGTGGGGCCCGCTCGATTGAAGTGGGAACTAGTGACTGGCGAAAAATGGATCTTGCGGGAGATATCCTCTCGGATCTCAAGTGTTGTCGAGTCGGGTGGGGCCACGCGGTACGAGGGCCGGATTCAAGGATCCGAATCCTTGCACCTTTTTCGAAAAGTGGGTAATTTGATTATCTAAATTAGGGCTCCAATGTTGGATTTTGATTCCCCAAAAGTCCCCATGGTTTTCCAGCAATTTAGGGTTTGTGACCACAGCTGCTAATCATGGCCGAGTGACTGAATCTAGTAGCCAGCTGGATCTCGAGCTTTGATAATAAAGATGATTGCAATTTGCAAGTGGGGGCGGCATTTAGTTCTCATGGATCTGCCTAACTTGCGAGATAAGCAGAAAGGGTAGGTATGCTCCGATCTTGGGGACTTATCTTAATTGGGTTTTCATGAGTGACTCGCATTTGGACCATACATTTCCTTATGTTCGATTTATCGCGATCCGCGATCTCCATTGTAGATCGACACTTTCTATAGTCGATTCATTTTCGGAATCCATAGTTTCTAACATCTATAGCCAATATCAGTCCTTGTGATTTATGGCCTAAAAACAAAATATATCAATCGTCGGAACTGAAATTTGGGCCCAATCGGGAATACATTGATGTTCAAGATGGGCCTAGTGTAGAAAGACCAGACTAAGGCCTAAAAGAAACAAGGTGGCAAGCTGTGTAACATGGGCTCCTACTTGTGGCCTAAATTGGGCCCAGACATGCTTTTCTTCGGAACGTACTCATGGAGATCGAATCCCAGACCTGATACTCTTTTACCCCGCTCCTCTAATCCCTTTACCAGCAAGGCCGCATGCCTGTCGGCAGTTGAAAGAAGAAATTGAATAGTGGTCTTAGGGCCTCCCCTTTTACGCGGCCACTTAAATCGAGGGCTAAAGGAAATTGGCTTTCAATCGTACAAACTGGCCTACGCAGTATGATTCCGCCATCTGTAAATCTGAAGAACTTCCTTTCTAGAGAGGGTCTCCGTACCGATGAATCCGACGGCGGCGACGCTTCCGTCGCGGTCAACGGGATGGAGAATGCCCACAGACGAGTGCTTCTCGTCCTCCCATCCCCACATGATACTAGCGGCAGCGCACGCTGGTCGTCGCCTGTTGTTGTCTGTACATTAGCCTCCCAAAAGGACTAACAGTGGGGTTGTGAAGCCCGTTGCGGGAGTTATTGAGGACGCATGTAGGAGCCATTCGCTAAAAGATTATATACGGACAGTTTGCTGCTGGCTGGCTCCAGATCGTGCTTGAGGTTGTTGCCTTCCTATATTTAAATTCAAGCAGAAACGATCAGAGAACTTCTTGCCACTCATCACCATTGAAACCGTCAATGTGTTGGTCGAGTAAAGGACAAGCTGAGGGTTTTTTTTTTCTCTTTGGCCCAACAGACTTGGGCCTTGCAATCTTTATCATATTAGCTCCAAAATGTTTGTATTTTTAGTACCAAATGAGTTGAAAAACATGATCATGGATATTTTATGGAAACGGTTAACATGTTTGAGTGCTTTTGCTTTCCATTTTTTCTGCAGATCCAGTTCAAGCTGCCCATGTCAAGAAGACGGTAATTCTTCCAGTTACAGACATAAGAATAAAGGGCTTTGGTTAGAAGCTTTGTTCAGCCACCTCTCGTCATAACTTCTTCCGACCCAAATCTGGTTTAGCAGTGAAACCGCAAGAGGACGAAGATACATGTCATCAATGCCCTTCCATACCAATTTTTAGGAACAGGACCAAATATTTTCGAACATCAGAACGATGCATCACGGCAGAGAGATGAAACATAAGCAAACATCTGTTCAAGGATTTAAGCATCAATGCCGCATATTCAAAGTACCCGGCGGCTAATTATTTAGACCAGATGATCTCATCACGATGGACCCTTTTAATTAGATTAGCATAGAGGCTTGAATCTGTCTCGGCATTTTTTTCTAAATACTGCACTCTCCGTTTTCTTACTATTATTACTATTGCTCTTGATGCTGCATCTGCTGCTGTTGTTATCATCATTGTTATTATTGTCGTCCTCATCATCATCAATATTATGTGCTCTTGACAAATCGCGGTCATTTCTTAAATTTTGGTTAATAATTATCGTGAAATCTAGGTTTTGATAAAAAAAAAAAATCTTGTAATCCAATCCACCAATCTTGTAGCAGCTACTTGTCGCTCCTTTTCACTAGATAGGGATTGCGCTCATTGACCAAACAAACCTTCAGTCTTACCTCAAGCCACCCTCTTGACAGTGGGGTCTAGCGGATGGAACTAAAACAGCAAAACATGTTTATGGAGATAAGCTCATTAGGGAAATTTAATACATAAATGAATATTAAGACTCGACGAGCAACAGAATAGTCTCAGTGTATGTGTCGGAACAGGACCAAATTACTTACTCTATCATCGTGGCTCCTTGTTCTCATCCGCATTTGAGGCAGTAGGGATTTTTCTTTCTTGAATGGACTTGGCCTTTGCTCGACAGTCAGGGGCTGCATAGATGGAGTAATACAAGTTCCTTCTGCTCAGCAGCCAGTGGCCTTTGCTCCGCTCAGGGTCAGCAGTCAGCAGCGCTGGGCACCTGCAGGCCGCTTGGCTTTGCACTTGGCCTTTGCTCAGCTCAAGCTCAGCAGTCAGCAGCCCTTTGCTCGGCTCAAGCTCAGCAGGCCTTTACACTAGTAGCATCAAGCATAAACCAATTCCATAAGTTTGACCAAATGCGCCGAGCATGTGGCTGATTGGCTATTCTGTCCAAATAGGATCACAACAGACTGCTTGGCTCATAATGGATCAACAACAGCATCATCAAGCAAAATAGGAAAATGCCAAATAGAATAACAGCAGCATCATCAAGCAAAACTCATCATTAAACACTTGGATTCATCGAACTTAGTTATTTGCGTTACTAAAACTGAGCTTACAAAACAAATAAACTCAATTGCTTACAAAAAGAGCCAACCACAGATGAGCTAAAACCCCACTGATCCCCTTGACCTAGCCACTAGCCAATGGTCACAGCGCGTACTACAAGAAGCAATCTAAAGCTCTAAAATGCAACTATAACAACCGATCACAACCCCAAAACAGAAGAACAACAAGCAATCACAGCCCCATTAGTCCCCACATTTTCCTACAGTCTATGATTGGCATCCCCTGCTCTTCGGGCGAAGCACCTTCATTAGGGCAGAAAATGTAGTACATTAACAGTGACGAAAAGGTGAGTCCCTCTTTCTGCTTTGTAGAATGAACAATATCCTGACCGACACCCATCTGCTAAACAACAAATCCTAGCGCTGGGAGCGATAAGCAAGTATAGCAAAAACGGTCTGTGTGATGCTGAGAACCAGGGCTAAGAAAGCCGAGAAGGCCGATATGGATGACCACGGACTGGAAAAGTAAGTGCGCATCATGTTCGCCCAGTCGCTGCGGTAGTACGATTCCAGTTCCTGGAACTGCTGGGACAGAAAACAGTCATGAAGATCGAAAGAAATGCTCTTCCCAAGCTTATCGAACAGATCAGCCACATAGTGGTCATCACGAGAAAATGGTGCGATGATCCCATCTGAACGGAGGAGCGACACGTCCTTGGGCTGTTTGATGAGGCAGTGCATGAAGTAGACGTAATCAGTCATGTACTTGGATCCGTTTCCCCAGCATTGTTCCAGGTACACGCAGTTTATCAGCACGGTGGTCATGAAGTCGTCCATCGCGATGCATGGTATCTGGAGTACCCGTTTCCGGAAACTTATGTCCAGCAAGCTGTCTGCCTTCCTCCTGGACTTGAATTTGATTCCGGAGGGCCTAAGCTCGGTCACACACGGCACGGACAGAGAAGACGGTGGCCAGTACTCCTTCGTGCGGTTGGGGTGGACCCTGCTTGTCGGATAGAGACTCGAGTAAAACAGGTCAAGTAGATGCTCGCATTCAAGATTCCGGCTAGATCTGGGACGCGCCATGGATCTCGGATAGGCCTGATCGAACAACTTCAATGCGAGTGTGGCCAAAGAGTCTTCTGCCCCTATTAACTTGTATGAAGCCGACGCGTCAAACAATGACAGGAGAAGGGAGTACGGAATCTGGTTTTCGAGCTTCAGTAAGTCCCTGATGAGAATCGGGATTATCTGGGGCCGTGTAAAGATGGGGCTGTCTACGTCGGTCGCATCGCCGCACTCGAAGAAGCCGAGCAGGAGTTCCAACACGAAGCAACCGTCGAGCAGCATCATCCGCAAGAAGTCGGCCCTCGTCACATCCACGTGCCCCGAGTAGCGACTCCGGGCAGAGCTCTCCTCTTCTTCCACCGCTCTCGTCAGACGCTCGAAGCTCGACCGCGTGCGGCGGAGGAAGCTCTGGAGGAAGAGCGGCTTAAGCTGTTCAAACTCGAGCACCTGGACCTGGTGCGGGCCCCTGTTGTATGGGCCTATAGATACGATCTCGGGCTCCACGGCCACAAGGATGGGATCGTTCCTATGGAGAGGCGCGCGGGGGTGCACCTGGCGTGCGCCCCTACGGTACGGGCCTACGGATGCGATCTCGGGCTCTACGGGCATACGAATGGGACCGTCCCTATAACGAGGCATGGGCTCTCCAGGAATAGGATTAGGCTCCACGGGCATAGAATTAGGCTCTACGGGCATAGGAATAGGATTGTCCCTATAAAGAGGAATGGGCTCTCCAAGAATAGGATTAGGCTCTACGGGCATAGGAATAGGATTGTCCCCATAAAGAGGAGTGGGCTCTCCAAGAATAGGATTAGGCTCTACAGGCATAGGAATAGGATAAAGAGGAATGGGCTCTCCAAGAATAGGATTAGGCTCTACGGGCATAGGAATAGGATTGTCCCTATAAAGAGGCATGGGGCTCCTAAAGATGGAGTGACGCGAGGTCCCGGCGGCTAGGAAGCCTGTTGGTCTTTCCTCTTGTAGGCGGCTAATCCAGCGAGTAACCCTATCAGTCAGTTCTTCTACGGTCATGCTGGCATCGGATCTGGCTGTGTCCGTTCGAACCGCCGCATCATTCGGTTGGACGATCTCGATTGCCTGATGATCGTCCATGACTCTCTCCCTCTCCCGCTGCCTCACACTCAAACGAATGGGATTTTAGAGGGAAAGCAATTAAAAGAGAAAAGTTCTCGCACTCAAATGAATGGGATTTTAGAGGGAAAGTAATTAAAAGAGAAAAATTCTTGCGAGAATATTTGTATTGCTCAACCGCGAGATAGATGGAGAGAAAGCCCTTTATTTATACTTGAACTTGCGCTGTAAGATACCCTTTGATTATCTAACCTTCCCGCCACCCTCTCTTTACAACAAGACAATTCCCACTAAGCATCACTTGCTCCGAAGATGATTTTTTTTTGTTTTTTGGTCGATTGCTACGAAGATGAATGAGAAACCAATATAAACAAAACCGACCACCCATTTCCAAGAAATTTCCAGCACGACGCGTTTTGTTAGCATCCGCGAAACTGCCATTATTATTTTACCTACCACGACCCAGTAACAATAAGATAAAAGCAAGAGTAAAATGCTGAAATGTTAATAATTTCCATAAATGTAAAATTCATATTTTCCAAAACGAACTTGATGTGCTCACGATCATAACCGAGTTGTCATATGCTTTTATACATTTGTATACACATCGTCGTTTCTCGTTGACTCGAGCACCATTCGATATCATTTAGCAACTTTACCTTCTCCGTATCAGATAATGTCTAGCATATTTTCGATGTCGCGTTCCAAGGCAAAGAAGGAGAAAAAAAAAAGGATCCGCTTGAATTTAGAATGAGCTCGAATATCACGTCGATTATAATACTAGTACGTAACCGTCGATTTCCCCCCACCTGGTCATGAGGCACATGCGTATGATGTCCAAAGTTTCATCGATAGCACGCTTCGATTGCTTTCTATCGACTAGGATCTGTTTCTGCATCCATTATATTTCTTTTTGGTTAACAGTGGCTTTGAGGATTTAAGAAAATACATTGATTACTAAGAAGGCATATGATTAATCTAAAAGTTAGGGCAGTGTGCAACAACGTCATCTCCTTTGTCTCCCAATTGTTTGGTACAAGGTATGAGACATTCAAGTTAAGCCAAAGCGAAATATTTATCGTATATGAATTAAGATCGAAAACGTTAAAAGCGACCCCATCTATTTTAGCCGTCCATCCACCTTCCCCCCACCTTCTAGGAAACGACTTAGCAAATAGTAGATAAGAACTAGTCATGAGACTTTATTTTTAAATGATTTTTTCTTTCCATTAATGAAAGAAAATCGAAAAATATTCCTGCAAAGAACATCCCATGATGTAAAATTTTCAGAAATTGAAAGTGTTCCTACAAAGAAGATCCGGCGATGTAGAATTTCCTTATAAGCGACTCTCGTCTTGACGATCCATTTATTTATGTTCGATGTACCAACAATCCGTGATCTCCATCGTAGATTGACAATCTCTATAGTTGATTTACTTTTGGAATTTATAGTTATTGAGATAAATTGTGAAAAATATATGACAGCCGAGAGCTCATAATCCTATGCTTTCGTCTTTTCTTGTCCTATTCTGTTGTTTTTGTTCCTAACAACTCCATATTTGTCTTCTTCGGACTAAATTTTTCGCAGTTTTGATTAGTCTTCTCTGAGGATTATCAATAATATTAGTACTCTTCTGTCAGACTTTGAATTGTCGATTACATCCTAACCACTGATTAGATGAATTATAATAAGTGCATTTATCTTACAAGGCTCATCACCTCCACTGTGCAAACACGATAATAGATCAGATGAAAACTTCAACTTCATTGGTGTTGGGGCCGCCATTTGCCATTGACACTCTGAAAGGCCACTCATGCCTCAAACTGCAGCAACAGAATGTGCAATTCAAGGTCAGAGAATCAAAGACGCATGCCAGAAGTCAGGTAGAAGAACTTCAGGAAGCAGGCAAAGAAGACGTACTTTGAGTGGGAAGATGAACAGTCCTATCCTCAATCTTTAAAATCTTGTACATTTTCTCCGCCTTGTAACACCATGAGCAACGTCAAAAGAGCATCCAATACCTTAGCTGTTAACGATATTTCACTATCAACTCACCAGATACTTCATACCTGAGCCAAGACTCTTAATTCCCTGCTTTCATTATTTGCATTTGCAATCTCAGACCAAGGAAATTTTATCTTGAGGGGGGCCGAAAAGCAAAAGTACATCCTTGTTGGGCTTCAAAGATGCATCTCAAATTATCTTGATGATAAGTATAATCACCTTTTGTGGACTCATCCTCAAACCCCCTTCCCCAAATTGATGGACCTCCAGCGCCATCTTCCAAAGGATCGCTTGTCTGTATCATGAAGCTTTTAATGACCCGATGAAAGATGAGATTAGCATAGTAGCCGTTTCTGCAGTAAGTGTTAAAGTTCTCCACAGATTTTGTACTCTCTTCGGGGTACAGCTGCATATGGATGTCGCCCATTGTTGTAGGAAGAACCTAACAAAAAAGAACTCAAGCCAATATCATAAACTAACCATGCAAAGCACTTATTGCATGGATACATGTGGAAGTCACTGAGCAGGCTTTCGAACAAATAGATAAAAAGTATTTTGCATCATGTTTCAGGACAAAGGACAGGATTCAAAAGAACGTAAAACAGGAGATTGAAGCAGAAGGAAGAGACTTGTATCATGTTCTCCAGGAGAGGAAATGGAGTACAATGGAAACTGAAGAGTTAGAATAAACATGTTATGGTGCCGTTTTATGTGTTTGCAACACAGTTTCGAGAAACTATATATGATTTATACATGGTGTGAAGAACTATTTCCGATTTCAGAATAGATTTTACTACTCACTGCTTTCTCACCTCAACAGGGCCAGGAATAAAATGTGAAGATGATCTCACTACTTAAGGCCTCCAGTTTAATGTGCTCCAGACTCACATTTCTACCGATCTCACACTCACAGCAGGCCCAGAGTTACTTATATCTGTTTTATTGACATGGAAGGAGTCAATTCCGGGCAATCAAGTGTTCTATGGACTTAACCCCTTTCCCCTACATTGTAGTTACAAAAAAGGTCGACCAGTCCTTTTCTTTTCTTTCTTTCCATTTCTTTCCCCTTCTTGACATTCTCCAATTTCCAACCTTATGCTTCTTTCCACCTTGCCGCATGAAAAGAATTCTCTAAAACATAGGGAGGACTGGAGGAAAAAGGTGAGAAAAAGTCTGATATTAAGAATGATCCACGATAACGTCTTTTGACCGATTGAGCACTACAAGAACAATCTACTCTACAATGTCAAGCGCAATGTAAGGAGGAAGAAACTCGTCACATTGTCGGGAAGTGAAGTAGCAACCAATTTTCCCATAATCAGGTACAGCCAGAAGCTCATCGGGAGGAGGCTTCTCGTTGAACACATCAAGCCAAATACGAAGATGCCAAATAGGAAAACAGTAGCATCATCAAGCAAAACTCATCATTAAACACTCGAATTCATCGAACGAACTTAGTTATTTGCATTACTAAAATGGAGCTTACAAAACAAATAAACTCAATTGCTTACAAAAAGAGCCAACCACAGATGAGCTAAAACCCCACTGATCCCCTTGACCTAGCCACTAGCCAATGGTCACAGCGCGTCCTACAAGAAGCAATCTAAAGCTCCAAAATGCAACTACAACAACCAATCACAACCCCAAAACAGAACAACAAGAAGCAATCACAGCCCATTAGTCCCCACATTTTCCTACAGCTCTATGATTGGCATCCCATGCTCTTCAGTAGAAGCACCTTCATCAGGGCAGAAAATGTAGTACATTAATACCCACGAAATGGTCAGTCCTTTCTGCTTTGTAGAATGAACCGATACATATCTGCTAAACAACAAATCCTAGCGGTGGAAGATAAAAGTAAGTACAGCAAAAACGGTCTGTGTGATGCCGAGAACTATGACTAAGAAAGCTGAGAAGGCCGATATGGATGACCACGGACTGGAAAAGTAAGTGCGCATCATGTTCGCCCAGTTGCTGCGGTAGTAGGATTCCAGCTCCTCGAACTGCTTGGACAGAAAACAGTCATAAACATTGAAAGAAATGCTCTTCCCGAGCTTATCAAACAAATCAACCACATATTGGTCATCATGAGAATATAGTGCGATGATCCCATCTGAACGGAGGAGCGACACATCCTTCGGCTGATTGATGAGGCAGTGCATGAAGGAGACATAATCAGTCATGTACTTGGACCTGCTTTCCCGGCATTGTTCCAGGGACACGCAGTTTATCAGCACGGTGGTCATGAAGTCGTCGATTGTGATGTATGGTATCTGGAGTACCCATTTTTGGAGTACCGGTTTCCGGAAACTTATGTCCATCAAGCTGTCCGCCTTCCTGGACTTGAATTTGATTCCGGAGGGCCTAAGCTCGGTCACGCATGGTACGGACTGAGCCGATGGCCACTTCTCCTTTGTGTAGTTGGGGCGGACCCGGCTTGTTGGATAGAGACTCGAGCAAAACAGGTCAAGTAGATGCTCACATTTAAGAGTCCCCCAACATTTGAGAAGCGCCATGGGTCTCGGATAGGTCTGATTGAACAATTTCAACGCGAGTGTGGCCAAAGAGCCTATATTTGCTGTTACCTCATGTGGGAGCGGCCCACTAACCAATAACTGGAGAAGAAAGTACGGAATCTGGTTCTCGAGCTTCAGTAAGTCCCGAATGATCATCGGGATTATCTGAGGCCGTGCAAAGATGGGGTCATTTTCGTCAGCCTCATTGCCGCTCTCGTGAAAGTGGAGTAGGAGTTCCACCACAAAGCAACCGTCAAGTAGCATCATCTGCACGAGGTCATCACTCGTCATAGCCACATTTTCCGAGTAGCGAGTCCGGACAGAAATCTCCTGACCTGCCACAAATTGTGTAAGTTTCTCCAAGTCCCAGTCCGTGCGGCGAAGGAACCTCTTGAGGAAGAGCGGCTTAAGCCTTTCAAACGCGAGCACCTGGGGCCGGCCCCGGTGGTACGGGCCTATAGACACGATTTCTGGCTCTTCGGCCTTAGGATTGATCCCACGAAGAGGCGGGGGAATCCTAAAGATGGTGCAAGGCGAGGTTTCGGCTTGAAAGCCACTAGGCGCTTCCTCTAGCAGGCTTCTAATCCCATCCAACAGGCGAGCAACTGCAATATCATTGCCCGATCCTGCGTCAGCATTAACTGGGCGTGCAGATGGCCGTGTCCCTGTCGTGTCCAACCGCTCTTCTGCAACCATCCTGGCATCGAATCCGGCAGTGTCGGTTCCAACTGCCGCATCGTTCAGTTCAACGATCTCGATTGCTGCATGATCATTCATGACTCTCTCCTCTGTCTCACACTCAAACGAGAATGGAATTTCAGACGGAAAATAATAAAAGAGGAGAGAAGACCCTCATATATACTTGAGCTTACCCCGTAAGATACCCTTCGATCTGACAGTAATTGCTCCGAAGATGAATGAGAAATTTAAAAATCAAAAGCGACGTCCCATTTCCAAGAAATTTCTTAGCATGACGCTTTTGAAAGATTCCGCGAAACTGCCATTATTTTATCTAGGGAAAACGACACAAACAGTCTGTGAACTTTAACCCAATGTGCAATTTGATCTCTGAATTTTTAATTTGTTTAACGTAATCCCTGAACTTCAGCTTAATATTCAATGTAGTCCATGAACTTTTAATTTGTTCAATGTGGTACCTGAACTTTTAGTATATGTTCAATTTAATCCTTGAACTATTTAAAAATGTTCAATGTAATTCTTCCATTAATTCAAGTGCATGGACTACATTGAACATTTTCATATTGTTTAGGGACTCAATTGAACATGTACTAAAAGTCAATGGACCACTTTGAACAAATTAAAAGTTCAGGGATTAAATTGAATATTAGATTAAAGTTCAGGGATTACATTGAACAAATTAAAAGTTTATGGACTAAATTGCACATTGGACCAAAGTTCATGGATTGTTTGTGTCATTATCCCTTTTACCTACCACGACCCATTACCAATGCGATAAAAGCAAGAATAAAATGCTGAAATGTTAATAATTTCCATAAATGTAAATTCATTTTTTTCGAAACGAACTTAATGTGTTCACAAGCATAACTGAGTCGTTGTATATTTTTACACATCTGTGCATACCTATCATCGTTGTTTCTCATTGACTCGAGTATCACTTGATATCATTTAGCAACTTTACCTACTCTGTATCGAATATATCTAGCATATTTTCAAAGTCATGTTCTAAGGAAAAAAGAAGAAGAAGAAGATCTGCTTGAATTTAGAACGAGCTCGTATATCATGTTGATTATAATACTAGTATGTAACCCTTAATTTTCCTCACATTGATTGCGAGGCACATACATATGATGTCCAAATTTTCATTGATAGCACTCTTGGATTCCTTTCCATCGATTAGGATTTGCTTCTGCATCCATTAGATTTCTTTTTAAGTAACAATTGCTTTATGGATTTGGACAATACATTGGTTACTAGAAGTGCATGATTAATCTAAAAATTAGGTAGTGTGCAGAACACCTTCTCCTCTGTCTCCCAATTGTTTGATGTTTAATTTATGAAAAGATTCGGTCCGAGGTACATAGGATTGTGGCTCATGTTGGTGTTTGTTTGTAAAACAAATAAGGCATTTTCCTTGTCTCACATAGGAAAGAAAGGAAAGTTTTGATCTTTTTAAAAGTTAAAGTGTTATTTACTATTGGGTGAGTGGACTAGATCCCACAATACTCGCGTGCGGATATGCAATTATTAGGTGCACTTATCACTTGGCATGCTTGCGCGCCTTGGACCAAATTTAGCCTTAATCAACAATTATTTTATTTTATTTTTTATTTTTTAACTTGTGATTGTTTGGACAAAATTGTCTGTTTTAGGACATGAAGGGTATGTCCAAAATTGACGATTTTCACACAAAAAGAGTTGTGTCCGAATTGCAATTGTTCGGACATGAATGGTTATGTCTGAATGGCGGTTTTCATGCACGAAGGGTTATGTCCAAATTGTAATTTTTCGAACATGAATGGATGTGTTCGTATTGGCGGTTTAGACATCGAGAGGTGTATTCTATTTGTATTATATATTGGACAATTCTGTTCAATTTTTTTAAGAACTTAACTTCCTTCATTTTTTTGGCTTCCTTAAAAGAAAAAAAGAGACAGTCATTTTTTCAATTGTTTCGCAGAGAGTTTTAAGAGATTTACTGAAATTGCTATCCAGTATTTTCACCATGACTTTACTGTATTCTGAAGAGAATTTATCAGTAACCTATAATAATTTCGTGAAACAAATTGATCCTAAAAAAAAGTAATTACACGCTCCCAAATTTAACTACATGTCGATTCCATTTCCTTCCAACTTTTCTCTAACAGTCATCTGTGTGGATTAGCCGACATCCTCTTTTAATCCCATAAAAGACAAAAAAGGTTCCCAAGTGGGCCCACTTGATTGAAATGTGAACTGATGACCTGCACAAACGGATCTTGGATATATATGAGGTGATCTTAGTCAAGGATTCAAACGCTGCTCTTTTTTTATTTTTTTTATTTTTGGTCGAAAAACGCTGCTCTTGAAAAGTGGGTTATTTTCTTCGTTGGGTCTTTTTTTATATTTTTTGGTCGAAATTTTCTTCGTTAGGCCCAGCGGTGGAAATTGATTCCCAAAGTCCGTGGCTTTCTAGGAAATTTGGACTTAGCGACCACAGCTTCTAATAATTTATGGCTAAGTGACCTAATCAGCTGGAACTTAAGCTTTAATCACTGAGATATTGCAAGTGGGTGGCACTTAATTGGCTTTTTTGACTAATGCAAATCACGTGCGGATATAGAGACATTCGAGTTAAGCCAAAGTGAAATATTTATTGTATATGAATGGATTAATATCACGAAAAACCCAAAATTGGTACACCCCTAACGGTTTGGTTCGGTTTGATTTTTCAAGAAAATCGAACCAAACCGAACTATTTACACCCCTAATTAACCCTATATGAATTAAGATCTTCTCGATGAGAAACAAAAACGTTAAAAGCGACCCCATTTATTTGAGCCATCCATCCGCCTTCCACCCACCTTCTAGGAAACGACTTGGCAAATAGTACATAAGAACCAGTCTTGAGTCTTTGTTTTAAATGATTCTTTCTTCCATTTTCAAAAGAAAATCGAAAAGTATTCCCGCAAAAAACATCCGACGATATAAAATTTCAGAAATTAAAAGTGTTACTATAAAGAAGATCCGACGATGTAGAATTTCCTTCTAAACGACTCTCATCTCAACGATCCATTTATTTATGTTCAATGTACCAACGATCTGTGATCTCCGTCGTAGATTGACAATCTCTATAACCGATTTACTTTCGGAATTCATAGTTCCTAATATATATAAGCAATATCTTGATTTATGGGCCCCCAAAAAAAATCAAGCTTTGAGTCATAATTGAGGCCCGATCGAGAGTACATCAATACTCTAGATGGGCCTGGTGGGCTGAAGTGGGCCCATGTAGTCTTTTCTTCAGAAGTAAAATCTTCACGGAAGAAATTAAATAGTACACTTTGGACCCGTTTGGTAAAACTTAAAATTAGGCGCTGAAAATTTACATACTGAATTTCAATTGTTGATAATGTTAAATGCTCAACAAAGAAATAAAAATTATTTGATAATAAATGAAAATTAATAGCTGAATATATTTAATCTCTTACCAAACATAAACAAAATGATCATCTGCAGTAGATTTTATCAATATATTCGGCAAGCTTCTGATTATCATCAATTATTTTGTTTATCGAACGAATTAGGGAACCATTCCTACTTATCAAGTTTAACTGGGTTTTTAGCCTAATTGAATTATTTAATTTAATATAATTTGAGGTTATTAAACAAGTTTAACCTCATTAAGTGCCAATTTTTAATCTTCAGCAATAAATTGGGTTATCAAGCAATCTCTTTGACCTTTCTCAGTTCATTGATTCTCTGGTGGTGTTATGATATATGATTAATCGAGGGGAAAAACCTTCAAACCAAAACGGTTGTGATGACGATTTATTAGCAGACGGAGGTGACAAGCAGATCGGGGGACAAGCTGCAAGAACCATCCATGGAAGAATCATAAGGTTCATTATTTCTCCCCTGTTCGTAGCCAGTGTGTAAACAAGCAGAATCTACTTCACAAATGACTCTTATCACGAATGATAAGCAGATGGAGGTCACAAGATGGAAGAGCCATCCATGGGTCGGGCCACGCCCGGCGATACACAATCCCGAGAATAGCCGCATGCAGGCAGCGCTGCAACATGTTGATTCCTCCGACCACGGGCTGGCAAGACTTGCGGCTGTGATGGCCAGTGAATCACTGCTTGGCCAAACCCACATGTTGGCTCGGCACAGCACATACTGCTCTCGATGGTCCTTGGCAAGGGGCCGACATATCGCTTGAGCTATTGACTTCTATGTTGCCCCCTCATGTCAATGGATCCAGCCGAGCAAACTACTAAGGCAAGACTAAGCACTGTAACGAGCTGGTTTCGGGATAGCCATGGCTCATTAGTGACCTCCCTAAAGAGGATACCTCGTCACGGGGCGGTCCATGCGCCTGCTTGACTAAAGTGGTTGTTACGCCTACCCACATGCATATATGGACCTGCTTGACTAAAGGGGTTGTTACGCCTCACCGCACCCACATGCATATATCGAGAGCGAGGCCTTCGTGGATCGATCGAAGTAATTATTGACAGCAGAAGAAAAATATATACACGCTCAAAAGACGACAGTTAGACATCGGGACTTGCCAATTTGCAAGCAAAGCAATTATATGCAACGATATTGTCTCCTAGGACATCATCATCATTTGAGAAGGTAAACCCCGGCTGACCTGCGTAAGTGGCGGCGACAATCACATTCGCGATGCAGGGGCATGGCTACTGAGCACCGGTACTGACGCCTTCTCTGAAAAGCATGTTGGCCACCGGAGGCGGAAGCCAAGCCGGATTACTTGCCGCTTGGCCATCCGCTTGTTGACGGTCGCCGTGGTTCTCTTTCCCGTGTGGCTTTCTGACGGTCGATCTTCCCACTTTCTTGCCGACGAAAGCTCCGAGCTTCATGGCTGTGAATAGACCGATGGCAATGACAAGCGGTCTCACTGACCAGTGAAAATCCTCAAGGTGCTGATATTTCTTCACAATCCCAGGACAGGTATCGAAAGTGACCATTTCCACCTCCGCTGGATCGGCCATGAAGCTACTCGATTCGTCCCCAAATGTCAATAACCCTGGAAACTTCACAATGAGGCACCCGCTCGGTGAGGTCCAAGGTATCCTCCCCGTGGCCCAAGTGCCTTCCCATGTACACGGCCACTTGAACTGAGGGCTAAGGAAATGGGCTTTCGATCGTACAAATTGGCGTACGCAGTATGACTCCGCCATCTGTAAATCCGAAGAACTTCCTTTCAAAAGGGTCTCCATCCCGATGAATCCGACGGTGACGCTTCCAGCAGCCAGGCCATGAGTGACTCGCTCTAACTTCGAGCCGTGAATTCTCAGAGGGGTCATGGATGCCATGAATATAAAGGCTCGCATTTCAGCCTTCACGAGACACTACTAAGGAAGCTACACGGTTGACTGACAAAACAGTCCACACAATATGCCACAAACATTCTGTCTAGACTCTTTTGCGGCCAAATATTTAAATCTCTCCGCAACACTCCTAAAGTACCGGTTATTCTTTTGTGTATGCACATATGCACATAAATTACGTTTAGGATGGCTAAAGGGGGTTTTCAAAACAACACATGTTAAGACGACGAACCTTTGTATCGCGTTTGGGAGCACAAAAACATACCGTGTTCGTTGAATGCCGACAACACAAGCAAATTGGGTTCGTTGCAGAATCTCAAGGTCAAATCGGGTCACAAATGGGTTATGGGTGAATCAAGTTTACGATTTCAACAAGCGAATGTGGGATTGGGACAGACAAAGACGTCGGGATGAATAGGGGAGACGATTTGACGAAAAAATGACTTGGCTTGAGCGAAATCGTTCGATTTGACTTGAGATAGAATAGATTTGAGCAAGATCTCAATTAGGGTTCTTCAAATTGGAGCGACATTGAGGGATTTAGGTGAGTGTTTGATGGATTGGGGCAAGAAACGAGGGTTGCAAGCGACAAAATTTTCTAAAAGTCCAAGGGCTCTTTCTTTTCTTTTAATTGTAGAGAATGCCGCCGTTTTAATCTTCGGCGTTCACGTCAGCGCTAGCCTCCTGTCAGTTCGGCCACGTAGGACAGCCGACGCTGATTGGATATCCATGTAAGCATTTTTTGGGTTAAATTGACCGAAAAGACTAAATTAACAAATTGCTAAAATGTTTAGGACTGGATTGACAAAATTAAAATGTTTAAAACTAAACTGACCGCTATACAATAAATTTATGACTTTCTAGACAGTTTTCTCTTGTGAATGGAGTGTGATCAAATTTTGTGGGTCCCTTCATTTAATACAAAATAATAATGGTCTCCATCATTACGGAGCAACTTGTGGAAGTCCTCCTTTTTCGCTTGAAGAAGTTTGCGCGTGTTTTCTTCATTTAATGTGAATTATGGGTAGTATTATAATTCATGCATGCCAACTTTCCACTTGCACACCATCAACAATCGGAGTTGGCCGATAAACTTGTCAACTTGGCCAACTTCAACAATGTAGCCGACTGTCCGCATGCAAGTTTCATTTGAGCTCAAACTCGAGACATATCATAATAGTCATTTTTGCGGTGAGTGATAAAATTCTCCACTTTGGACACTCTTCGGGGTACAGCCGCATATGAATGTCGCCCATTGTTGTATGAAAAACCCACCACACAAGCACACAAGCAAATATCCTAAACTAACCATGCAAAGCACTCATAGGGTTGACACCTAAATTTTGGCGATCCATTTAGACATTTATTGCATAAAAAAATTAGGGATCGACCTAGCCCATAAACAAAAATATTATTTAAATTACATATAGATAATATGAGCATTTTAATTAATTCCATATAATTGCATTAGAGCTAATGCACTGGCGTAGGGGCTTCGAGCTTGATTGAATTAACTGGACTAAGCCCCCGAGACTTTAATTTTCGGCCTAGGTCGTTGAATATCCTTGTGGCCGAAATTACATGCGAGTTGCACACGGGGGCGGTCTTGATTTGGAAAGATTACAATATCTAATCAAATTGAGAAGAAATAAAGATAATATTCATGGGGATAGAGAGTGCCAAGTTGGAAAATATTGAGTAATTCGATTTGATATTATCACAATTTAAAATCATAAGTGTGACTAGGAGAGTTTCTTATTTCCAAAGATAAGATACATCTCTTATAATTCAAGATAGGAAGATAAGAATTATCTTGTTAATAAGAAAACCCTAGCCTACATATAAGTGTGGTAAGGGCCTGCAAAAGGGACGTGGGACGCGGGGAGGTAGGTGGGTAGGTTGGTGAGGGGCGGGAGGAAATAAAGCGACGTGAGACAAAGGAGATATTTTGCATGGTATTTTTCTGCGCTTCCCCACCATCGCTGCTATTCCTCACGGCTGTGCCGGTGACCTCCATATAGCAGCCGGCGAGTTCCAGGCAATTTCTTGGCAGCATTGTCCATGACCAGAAGCGACCCCAGCTTGCCCGGAGACAGCTTCGCAGCGCCTCGCGTCCAGCACTATTGCGCTGCCCTTCTTCAGCCACGAGGCCACTGCTGAGTTTCACCTCACGCCATCCCCTGTTCATAGGTGAAGTCCAGCGAGTTTTCCTCCCTTTGCTGGTCGGCAAGTCCCTGGTGTATATCCTTGCAATTCGGACAGCAACTTGACTCTCGCCGTGACCAGCAAGCTCGCGGTCAAGTCCTCCACACCACTGCTGCTATCGCCTTATCGTCGTCGCTGGCTTTGCACCCGTGTCCGCTTCACTGCCACCAGTTCCTAAAGTCCCTCGCTGCGCACCCAAAAGCCACCAACAGCACCGGCGAGCAGCTGCGCCTTCTCGACATCAACCAAGGAAAAGACAGCACCCTGGCGGTGACAAAATCCGTCGACATATCGCTGCGCGTGCCAACTTTTTCTCCAAGGCAACACACAACGTACTGGGAGCGCTTTCCTTTTCTCGTGAAGTCTCTCCTTGGCGAAGTCTTCTCTCTCGGTGGCAGGTAGTTTCCAAGCTTCCAGCGTTCCTTTGGTGGCTTGCTCTCACTCTCTAGTCGTTGCTTAGCTCTGTTGTCCTCCTCCAAGGCGTCCTTCGGCATATATTTCATTCGTCCGTGACTATCAACGTGATCAACCAGGTTGGGATTTCACTCGGCCAGCAGCTTTTTACTTCCATCAGTGTTCCATTGGTGGTACTCCTCAAGGTGCTCTCGGCAATCCATTAATCCGGGGAGTAGCACCGGCTGTTCCAACTCCACACTTGTGGCCCTCGTTTGAGCGTTGCTCCACAAACCACATACTTATGTTTGGCCAAATGCATCGCAGCAGTCAGCAGTCAGCGGCCCTTTGCTCATCTCAAGTTCAGCAGGCCTTTACACTAGCAACATCAAGCATAAACCCCATATTTATGTTTGGCCAAATGCATCGCAGCATCAAACAAAAACCAAATGCATGTTTATGGCTGATTGGCTAATCTGTGCAAATAGGATCACAGCAGACTGCTTGGCTCATAATCGGATCACAACAGCATCATCAAGCAAAATAGGATAACAGCAGCATCATCAAGCAAAAATCATCATTAAACACTTGAACTCATCGAACTTAGTTATTTGCATTACTGAGATGGAGCTTACACAACAAATAAACTCAAATTGCTTACATAATAAGCCAACCACAGATGAACCAAAGCCCCACTGATTTCCTTGATCTAGCCACTGGTCACAGCCCATCCTACAAGAAACAATCTAAAGCTCCAAAAGGCACTTACAACAACCAATCACAGCCCCATTAGTCCCCCACATTTTCCTACAGCTCTATGACTAGCATCCCATGCTCTTCAGTACACAACAAATAAACTCCAATTGCTTACATAAAAAGCCAACCACAGATGAGCTAAAACCCCACTGATTTCCTTGATCTAGCCACTGGTCACAGACCATCCTGCAAGAAACAATCTAAAGCTCCAAAAGGCACTTACAACAACCAATCACATCCCCATTAGTCCCCCACATTTTCCTACAGCTCTATGATTGGCATCCCATGCTCTTCAGTAGAAGCACCTTCATTAGGGCATTAACAGCCACGAAATGGGGAGTCCCTCTTTCTGCTGACGGAGACACATCTGCTAAACAACAAATCCTAGTGGTGGTAGTGATAAGTAAGTATAGCAAAAACGGTCTGTGTGATGCTGAGAACTATGGCTAAGAAAGCCAATAAGGCCGATATGAATGACCATGGACTGGAAAAGTAAGTGCGCATCATGTTCGCCCAGTTGCTGTGGTAGTACGATTCTAGTTCTTGGAACTGCTCGGCCAGAAAACAGTCATGGACATTGAAAGAAATGCTCTTCCCAAGCTTATCGAACAAATTTGCCACATACTGATCATCATGGGAAAAAAGTGCAATGATCCCATCTGAACGGAGAAGGAACACGTCCTTCGGCTGATTAATGAGGCAGTGCATGAAGGAGACGTAATCAGTCATGTACTTGGACCTGTTTTCCCGGCATTGTTCCAGGGACACGCAGTTTATTAGCACGGTGGTCATGAAATCGTTGATTGCCATGTGTGGTATCTGGAGCACTGGTTTCCGGAAACTTTTGTCCAGCAAGCTGTCTGCCTTCCTGGACTTGAATTTGATTCCGGAGGACCTAAGCTCGGTCACGCACGGTACGGACTGAGCCGATGGCCATTTCTCCTTTGTGTAGGTTAGGTGGACTTCGCTTGCCGGAGAGAGACTCGAGTAAAACAGGTCAAGTAGATGCTCGCACTCAAGATTTCCCCAAGCTTTGAGATGCGCCATGGGTCTCGAATAGACCTGATCGAACAATTTCAATGCGAGTGTGGCCAAAGAGTCTGTTTCCCCTATTAACTCGGACAAGCACGACGCGCCAAACAATGACTGGAGAAGGGAGTATGGAATCTGGTTTTCGAGCTTCAGTAAGTCCCCGATGAGAATCGGGATTATATGAGGCCGTGTAAAGATGGGGTCGTCTTTATCCCCATCGTCTTCATCAGTTGCATCGTCGCCCTTGAAAAAGTGGAGTAGGAGTGCCAACACAAAGCAACCGTCGAGTAACATCATCTGCACGAAGACGTCACTCGTCATATCCACATCTTCCGAGTAGCGAGTCCGGGCAGAACTCGCCTGACCCGCCGCTGCTCTGGTAAGAAGCTCCAAGTTCGACTGCGTGCGGCGAAGGAACCTCTTGAGGAAGAGCGGCTTAAGCTGTTCAAACGCGAGCACCTGGGGCTGGTCCCTGTGGTACGGGCCTATAGATACCATCTCCGGCTTATTGGCCTTAGGGTTGATCCAACGAAGAGGCGGGCAGATCCTAAAGATGGTGTGAGGCAAGGTCCGGGCTAGGAAGCCACTTGGCGCTTCGTCTAGTAGGCTTCTAACCCTATCCAAGCAGCGAGTAACCGTATCATTCAGTTCTTCTACAGTCACTCTGGCATCGGATCCAGCTGTGTCGGGTCCAACTGCTGCATCGCTCCGTTCTTGGATCTCGGGCTCTTGGGCATTAGGATCGATCCCGTGAATGGTGCAAAACGAGGTCCCGTCTAGGTATCCACTTGGCGCTTCCTCTATGAGGCTTCTAACCCGATCCAACGAGGGAGTGAACGTATCGTTCATCCTGGGATCGGATCGGGCTGTGTCGGTTCCAACTACCGTACTGTTCAGTTCAACAATCTCGATTGCATGATGATCATTCATGACTCTCCCCTCTGTATCACGCTCAGACGGATGGAATTTTAGAGGGAAAATAATTAATGAGAAAAAAGTTCTCGCAAGAATATTTGTATTGCTCAGCTGCGAGACACGTGGAGAGAAGGTCCTTTATCCTTGTGAGACACGATGGAATTCTAGTGCTTACACCGTAAGATTTCCTTGTGAGATTCGTGAAGAGAGGACCCCTCATGTACACATTGAGCTTTCACATCTAGATACCCTTTGATCTGACGGTAATCTATCCTTCCCGACTACCCAGTTGACCTCCCCATTTCCAAGAAATTTCCGGCTTGACCCGTTATGTTAGTCTCCGCGAAACTGCCGTTATTTTACCTGCCACGACCCATTAATAATAAGGGTTAATACCACGAAAAACTCCAAACGAATATAGCTGTGACAATTTTACTCCAAATTATTTTTTTGATCACAAAAAATTTTAAATTAGTACACCTACGATAAATTTACCCCGAACTATTTTTTTGACCACAAAAAACCCCAAACTAGTATACTTGTGATAATTTTACCCCGAACTAATTTTTTAATATTATTTTTTATTTTTTCGAATTTATTTATTTATTTTCTTTTCTTTTCTTTTTTTCCTTCATCTTCTTCATCTTCAACCTCTGGCCGGTCGCTGGTCCGACGACCGGTCAGAGGCGGAAGCCGGCGAGGTCGGCCATGCCGGCGAGCCCTCGCTAGTTGCCGGCGAGTTCGAGCCTCGCCAAATCTGGGGAGGGCTCGGCCCCGCCGGCGAGGCCGACCTTGCCGTTGCTGGGCGAGGTCGACCTCGCCAGTTGCCGGCGAGTTCGAGCCTTGCTAGATCTGGCGAGGGCTCGGCCCTGCCGGCAACTGGTGAGGTTGGCCTCGCCCAGCAACGACGAGGTCGGCCTCGCCCTGCAACAGCGAGGTTGGCCTCACCCAATGCCGGCGAGGTCGAGCCTTGCTAGCGGCCGGTGGGGCCGAGCCCTAGCCAGATCTGGCAAGGCTCGAACTCGCCGGCAACTGGCCAGGTCGGCCGCACTCAGCAACGGTAAGGTCGACTCTCGCCAGTGGCCGACGGGGCTAACCTCACTAGCTTCTGCCTCTGGCCAGTTAACGGTCCGGCGACCGGCCAGAGGTTGAAGATGAAGAAGATGAATGAAAAAAAGAAAATAAAAAAAATTAATAAAAAAATTCGAAAATATATATATTAAAAAATTAGTTCTGGGTAAAATTGTCACAAGTATACCAGTTTGGGGTTTTTGGTAGTCAAAAAAATAGTTCGGGGTAAATTTGTCACAGGTGTACCGGTTTGAGGTTTTTTTTGGTCAAAAAAATAGTTCGGGACAAAATTGTCACAGCTGTACCAGTTTGAGGTTTTTCGTGGTATTAACCCTAATAATAAAGATAAAATCAAGACTAAAATGCTGAAATGTTAATAATTTTCATAAATGTAAATTCTTTCCTAATGAAATTAATGTGCTCACGAGCATAACTGAGTTGTCACACATTTTTATACATTTGTGTACGTATCACCGTTGTTTCTCATTGACTCGAGCATCACTTGATATTATCTAGCGACTTTACTTGCTCTGTGTCGAATAATGTCTAGCATATTTTTAAAGTTACGTTCTAAGGGAAAATAAAAAAGATTACTTGAATTTAGAATGAGCTCGAGTATCATGTCAGTTATAATACCAGTATGCAATCCTCAATTTTGCCCCACATTGGTTGTGAGGCACATACGTGTGATGTTCGAATTTTCATCGATAGCAACGCTTTGATTGCTGTCCATCGACTAGGATCTGCTTCTGCATCCATTAGATTTCCTTTAAGGTAACAATGGCTTTAAGGATTTAAGACAATACATTGATTACTACATGGCATATGATTAATCTCATCAAAATTAGGCAGTGTGCCAAAAAGTCATCTCCTCTGTCTCCCAATTGTTTGGTCCGGAGGTGTCGGATTGTGTCTTTCATCCGTGTGGATAGCGGATATCCTTTTTTTTAATCCTATAAAAGGGAAAAAAGAAAAAAAGAAAAAAAGAAAGTTCCCAAGTGGGGCCCACTTGATTGAAATGTGATGTGACGTCGCACTTTCATTACCGAAATAGGGCTCAGGCGGTCCACGTCGTTCAACGCTCGACTCCCAAAGCACAAAATCAAACTCCTTCTCACGAGAAAATATTAGGTGGTCCCGTCTTAGGTCGTCGCATCTCTGGAATGGGGGTACGAATCTTTGCGATGCCGTGCTCGAGCATCGAACTTTTTTTTTTGTCTAAAAAAAATTCTCAAATTTTAGATTCAATCCTATTTACTCCAAACTTTTTTTATCTCAGAAAAAATCTTAAACTTTAAGTCCAGTCTCAAATCTACTGCGAATTTTATTTTGAGAAAAAACCACCAAAAACCCCAAACTTTACCATCTGTGACACATTTACCCCGAATTTTTTTGTGTGCACAAAACCCCGACTTTCTTTTTGTGACACATTTACCCAATGTATTTAGTCTATGGGCATTTTCGTCTTTTTGCTTTTTCTTTTTTTTTTTTTTTTTCCTTCCGTGAGGGCCCTCGCCGGCGTCGAGCGAGGCGGCCCTCGCTGGGCGAGCGAGGGCGGCCCTCGCCCGGCTCGAGCGAGTCGACCCTCGCCGGCGTCGGGCGAGGTCGACCTCGCTTGAGTCGGGCGAGGGTCGCCCTCGCTCGCCCGAGCGAGGGCAACCCTCGCCGGTGTCGGCGAGGTCCGCCTCTCGCCAGGGCGAGCGAGGCGGCCCTCGCCCGATCTAGCGAGGTCGACCCTCGCCGCGTCGAGCGAGGGTCGACCTCGCCCGAGCCGGGCGAGGCCGCTCTCGCTCGCCCGGCGAGGGCGACCCTCGCCGGCGTCGGCGAGGTCCGCCCTCGCACAGGGCGAGCGAGGCGGCCTCGCCCGATCTAGCGAGGTCGACCCTCGCCGCGTCGAGCGAGGTCGACCTCGCTGAGTCGGGCGAGGGCCGCTCTCGCTCGCCCGGGCGGCGACCCTCGCCCGGCGTCGGGCGAGGTCCGCCCTCGCTCGGGCGAGCGAGGGCGGCCCTCACCCGATCTGGCGAGGTCGACCCTCGCCGGCGTCGGGCGGCCCTCGCCGGCGTCGAGCGAGGGTCGCCCTCGCCGGCGTCGAGCGAGGTCGCCCTCGCCGGCGTCCGAGCGAGGGTCGCCCTCGCCCGATCCGGCGAGGGCCGCCCTCGCTCAACGCCCGAGGTTGACCTCGCCCGACGCCGGGCAAGGGTTGCCTCGCTCGGGCGAGCGGGCGGCCCTCGCCCGACGCCGGCGAGGGTCGACCTCGCTGAGTCGGGCGAGGCCGCCCTCGCTCGCCCGGGCGAGGCGAACCTCGCCGGCAGCCGGCGAGGTCGCCCTCGCCGGATCTGCGAGGGCCGCCCTCGCTCGACACCGGCGAGGGCCCCCCTCGCCGGATCCGGCGATGGGCAGCCCTTGCCCGACGCTGGCGAGGCCCCCCCTCACCGGAAAGGAAAAAAAAAGAAAAAGAAAATAGAAAAAACAAAAAAGACGAAAATGCCCATGGACTAAATACATTGTGGTAAATGTGTCACAAAAAGCAAAGTTCGGGGTTTTTGGTGTCACAAAAAAAAGTTTGGGGTAAATGTGTCACAAATGGCAAAGTTTAGGGTTTTTGGTTGTAACAATCTAAATTTTCGATCCTTTTCCCGGGATTCATGAAATGAATATTTTGGCCAATGCACTTATAGTGAAATCTCACCCGGAAATGCGCATTCACGGGATGCTAACCTTAGGGGTAGGGCTATTACGGGATTGAGTTCGCACGACCAAAAAACTCGACCTGGGTTCGATCTTCGACCATATGGATTGACGAGGGAATGTTTTGAGCCAACCGAGGCCGGTCTACTTGATTGATCGTGTCCGAAGGGAACTAGTGACAGACCCTCGCAATTATATGACAATCGAGGTCGTCTCGGGTGGAGTAAACTTAAACGTGATTTGACTTAGTGTCGGTCACGGGTCGAGAGCGCATAATCCCAATGAGCCACCCGTTAGCCAGAGATAAGCTAAAGTCGCGATTGTTCAATTTTAGTCATTTCTTAGAATTCGGGCCCGGGAATCAAGAATTTTGAAAGTGACAATTTTGGACGGCCGATGACGTTTTTGGCTTGGCCAACCTTGGGGCCACCCATTTCTGCAAAAAAAATGGATTTCGGTCCGGGACCCGGAAAATGACGATTTTGCCCCTCTGGTCACCAATGGCGATTCGGAGGCCGTTTGAGGTTATTTTTCGCGGCCAAGGTCATTTTGGGGTGGCCACGCACATTCAGAGTGGTTTTGGACAAAAATTGGAATTTCGACAAAAATTGAAAAAATAATATTATTTTATTCCCGAAACTTTGACGTGGATTTTCGAGGGCTTGCGCGATGAATTTCGCGATTCCGACGCCATATTATGTTGGCCACGCACATATGGAACACGTATGTGCGAAAATTGGAATTTCGGTTCGGGATCGGAAAATTACGAAAATGCCCCTAGGCCTATTTTCCTTTATTCCGAATTTTGACCAAAATTTGGGGACTAACCAAGGTCAATTAGGCTAAACCAGGTCTGGTCAGCCTTGGGTTAGGGACAAATGACCAATGGGCCCTTAAATTATTAGATAAGATCAATTAGTGGCCCTTGGATTAAGGGCAAAGTTGTCCAAACCCTTGGATTATTGACACATGGATCCCACTAAGCTATCTTTGACCCATTTGACCAGATAGTCTTCTCTCTCTCTCTCTCTCTCTCTCTCTCTCTCTCACGTACAGAAGCATTCAGCCATTTTTTCCCCAGAATTTTCCTCTTCTTCTTCACGTTTTTGGTTACCGTGATCCCGTTTACGCCATTTCCGATCTTTTCACGCCGAGACGATTACCAATGGAGCTGCCCCCCACCAAGCCAGCACCACCTTCAACCATTTCCACCTCTGTGCAGCCATCACAGCCCCGATTTTTGTCCAAAAAAGCCT